TCAAGAAACCAGAGACAAATTCCTGACTTTTGAAGCTGCTGCTTCAATGGAAAAACTGTGAAGGATTATGAGACTAAGATGAAAGGTGTACATGCAAGGAAAAGTTCAGCAACTTCCAGCAAGACACAGGCAGAGGAAGCCCAAGAAAATTTTCGTCTTAACACCTTTTATGTTATTTGTGACAACATGGTTTGTGAACTTTTGAGAAGAAAAAGGGCATATAACTCTTTCTTTGGAAAGTTTAAATTCATTACCGATCTATCAAAAACTGAGCCATCAGCAATATCACAGCATGCAAATAACCTTTGTTCTTCTTACAGCAAAGACTTGGAACAGGAGTGTTTTGTTGATGATTGCCTCCACTTTCGTTCATACCTCAGAAGTTCTTCTGCAGAAGATACCTCTGTTCTGGCAATGTCCCGAATGATAAGAGAGAGAGGATTGCACAGCATTTATTTAAATGTGGACATGGCTCACAGAATGTTTTTGTATACTGCAGCAACTAACTGCTCAGCTGAGCGCTCTTTCTTGACTTTGAAGCGCATGAAGAACTATTTGCAATCCAGATTGGGAAAGGAAAGATTGAACTCTCTGGCAGTGTTGGCAAAAGAGTCTGAGCTCACAAAATCTTTGGACTATGAAGAGCTTATCAACAGCTTTGCCACACAGAGAGTTTGGCGAAAGCCACTTTAATTTACAAGTATGATTTAGATCTAATAGTCCAATATTCAACAGTTTGCACTTATTTAAGTTAGAAATGTTTACTTTTATTTGTTGTATTCAACAAGTTGCATTTCAGTTTAATATATTTATATATTTAATTAAAGTTATCTAAGTTATTAAAAACCTCATCATGTCAGTTTCAGGATGGATTGATTGATGTAAGTAAACGGTGTGTGATAGTCTGTGCTATGGCTAAAGTAGTATAAAAGACTGGATGTGTTCATATGTACAGTGGCATTGTCTTGTAGGAATGAAACACATGGTGTATGCATGTCCAGTAACAGCTGTTGAAGCCTTGGTGTGCTGTTACTGCTCATGTGGACTGACCATGTGCTAATTCAAACAATTAGAATGTCGATGATCAATATAGTACAGTTGACCTGCATGACTGATCTTTGTAAAGTAGTTGAATTTACACTTTATTTTATTATATGTAAAGATTCTCTTAAATTTATAGATGCAACATTTGAAATGGTACACAAAATAATAAAACATTGGCCCTCGTTATTCACTTTTAAATACAGAAAGGAAGATGTGAAGCTCTAATAGGAAGGTTGAAGCCTAAAGAGGAAGGGGTGGGGTTTACAGAGGAGGGGGTGGTTCTTAAACAGAAAGGGGTGTGGCCTTGACAGGAAGGAGTGGGTCAAATTTAGATAAGGGGGGTGCCCGAGCTTAACCTCTCCTTGGACAGCACAAAACCAAGAAGCACCACTGAGTTTAGTACTTTGTATAAAAGAGTTGTAAATGCTAGAGCTCACGTGCAAGGTCCTCTACTCCTTTGTTTTGGTGTGTATATTTTACCTTATGGTACATAGCACTTTATAAATACCAGCAATAATAATAATAATAATATAGTTAATTTCACCCTGATTAAGCCATATGTGGACAATATATGCAGGTGTGAGGTGATACGAGTCTATTATCCTCTCGTCTCACATGGCAAAGAGATCAACCAAGATATGGTACATCAACAGTCTTCTGGTTCACAGTGCCTGCAAGGGTAAGTAAGGTTGGTAGCAAGACAGCATTTTTGCAGCAGCATTTCTTTTCGGGACAACTTCCAATCTTAGGTAGTCAAAGGGAAACAATATGGTCGCCATCATGCTTGCCCTAAGAGTTCAAACTTAGTAAGCCAACACAACTTTTGGGGTTATTCGCTATGCCAGGGAATGGAACATTTTGGCTATAATAGCTGAGGTGCAAACATAGATGTTTATGAATTTCTATCAGGTTTATTGAATAACCCAGTATACCCATGTTCGCATTTACTACGCATTTCAGTATATTTAGTCACCTGTGAACTAAATTGGAAGTGTTAAATTAAGATTAAGATTAAATTAAGATTGAAACCCTGATTTGAGAGGAGGGTTTTCCTCCAAGGGGACTCGCATCTTCAATCTTTGATTGCAAAACATCAATCCTATAACCCATGGGATATTTACATAGGACTTGCTCTGTTATAGGGCTCTAAACTCTAGAGACTAAATTGTAATTCCAAAGTACTGTGACTCGGTAGATAATTTTTTTTACATTTTCCCCCCCAAATATGCACATAGAAATACAATACTTTAGAAATCCACAGAGGCAGCAGTTGACAGGATGTAGAGCTTAAATTGTCTTTTAAAATAGGTACCAAAAGTTCCAGAAACTGTTGCTCAACGCTATACACAGTGAAAGACTTAAACCACATAAAATAATTCAATTTTGGGAAGAGGTGGTTAAAGTTCATAAAATAACCAATGAGACTGTAAACGTTTTCATTTTTATTTAATAAGCCTGTAAATCCAGTGCAACGTCTTCAATGGGTTTGAATTTACTTTGACAATTGTGGGTTGTTTTCTCTACAGCCACTAGAGGGTACTAGTAGATTTAACTTTATTTGTTGCACTGTAACACACGGGCTTAAGAAAGATACAGTGGAACAATACAAGGCTTCAATGCTCATAGCTGTGCTTGTATTTACAAACCCATGAAGATACAACTGAATTGGTTTAAAATGTGTTATCTCGCAAGCATTCCCCCTCTACGTTTTATTAGTAATTTGTCTGCATAACTCCAACCAAGCTTGTAAGCCTTTTAGTACTTAATCAAATATTGAATGCATTGCTTTCAGTGAATACAAATTGAGAAGAATACAGTGATATTAAACACAGTTATAATGAATACAATGCAATCTTTGGTACGAACAGTTAGAATGCCTCTTTTACAGTTTCAGTAACATTTTGTCACTTTCATCTCATTTATAAAGAATAGTGTTGATGCATAAAGAGAAGATAAATATAACAGTCAACAGAAGATATTGAAACTCAGATTAGTTTAAAAATAAAATCAGTTGGAGAAGAGCAGTGCTTTTCATCTATGAGAAGCATTGGATTGGACGAGAAGACAGAAGACGTCAGCATGCTTGCCAATGAAAAGAGAGGCAGAGTGGGTGATGGAAACAGGGCAATTAAATAGATTAACTTTTTTATTTTCCCACAGAATGGGGGTGGACACTAATGGCAGGATACGAATAGTACTGAAAAAAAAGATTATTTTATGTACTGTAGGTGCCCTTCAATCTCATACCTTCACATGAAAACATTCCTGGCTGTAGCCATCAAGATGCTTGACCACTTTAATGTACAGGAGTTCAGCCTCTTCAGGTGACAAAGCACTATAAATGAAACAAACAGAAAAATATTAATGCAAAGAATCGATTCCACCAGCGAATAGACAGTACAAGACTATGGAGTGCAACTGGGTTTCATTCTGCAAACTGAGAAACGCAAAGAATTAATATATGAAGGCCATAATATCAGAGATTGAAAGACACTGTTGTATTCAGCGATTTTGACCTAAAAAAATAAATCCCTAAATATTTTGTTAAAAATAAAAATAAACAATCAGTTAAGGAAACATTTTTTTAAATACTTTTTTGTACTTATTTTACATTGTTTTTTTCTTTAGAGAATGTTAGAATGTTTTTCTTTTATCACTCAAAACTGTCAAAGGGCAAGCAAGCACATTCAATCTCTGTTTTGTTTTTGGTGATAGATTACGTCTACAAAACACTAGATGCATCCAGCTTTTCTAGAAAGACTTCAATACCGTAACACAGACCCCCACAAGAAAATAGTCTATTAGCAAGAACCTTTTGTGATGTAATTGAATTTTTCCCCTTGTTAGTTTGCAATGAAAATGTCATCGGTATTGGTGGCACCCATTTAGTTCCAAATAAAATTTAGTTGTTTCTTGGGGCAAGAAGTGAGATGTTTTGTAGCACAGGCAGCTGCTAAGAGCAGGATGCTTTTCATGTCATCAAAAAATAAAAAATTGCACATGGCATGCCCTTCTCAAAATGTACTAACCTCTCCTAACCTCTAACTTTCAGGCAATCTCATTTCAATAAGGGGGTCATCACATTAGTTATACTACCACCCAGAGAACCGTCGCCCTAGTCCAGTCATGAAACAAAAGCTAGTCAGAAGGACTTTAAAGGGACATGTTCTAAAATGTAACACAATGGCAATATTGCAGCCTTTGGATATTTGTGAAGAACTGTGAAAAATGTGCCTCCAAGCAGTCACTAAAATTATAGCAAAAATTACTTTTTTATTTTTAGGTAAAGCACTCCATTTTTAAAAGTCTGTCCAGGTGCTACACCAAAATGTAATTATTTTCTAACTCATGAGATTCTATAAACTATGATTTCTAAATATGCCTCGCAATATTTACTAATAAGCAAGGGCCTCCAACATTTTCCAGCATTCCAAAGATACTGAAAAAGTATCATGATAAAAAATACCGTACAGAGGCAACTATTTCGCCATTTAAGGTGATTACAAATATGCGCTGCAATCAATTTTAAAGTATATATATAAATAAGATGGCGCATATAACTCAATAGGTCATGCAGTGCTTAGTAAAATTGCAGCAGCCAACAAGAAACCCTGGTAATTAGGTTACAAAATGTCATACAAAGATAGAAAAGTGCTGGTGCGCAGACTTCATAAAAAATCACCCTGGGAGGATCAGCCCCTGGAGCTTGTGGGATCCAAATCACACTCTTGCAACCCGGACAGCAGGTAAGTAAGACAACTTTATTTCAAATCCATAAAAACCATGTGCAGAGATATAATAACGTCCAAAATCTGCTCACCAGTGCTCTACGTTTACAGGGTATTCGGTTAATAAATCACCTCTTTCCCTCTATAACTGGCTGGTCTCGCTGATCTGGATGTTGCCAAGTACTTTCGCGTTCCTGACGCGTTTCGCATCTCCCCTTGGGGCTTCCTCAAACATGCATGATGTTTCCCACTCCTATGTGTCCTCCCAGGGTGCTTTGGCTTGGAGTGGGGCCTTTGCCACTCCTGACTTGTGAGTGTTACATCCAGAATAATTATTTTTTATTCATTTGTACTTAATTTACTTTTTAACAATATTGCACTAGCAGTGCTGTGTATATCTTTTTTTGTCTCCTTTGTGGATATTTCGTATGAACTTGTATCTGTTTGCAAGTATTGATTTCTTATTTTATTTAATCACATTGCAGTTTGTGGTATATCATATCCTAATTACTTGTTTATACACCCTGTATATATTGGAGTGATAGTATAACGGTAGAGATTGTGGTTAATGCACCAACGGTGATTTTTCATGAAGTCTGAGCACCAGCACTATTCTATCTTTGTATACCAATCAATTTTAGTTTACACTAAAATAAGAAATGTAAAAAATATAGTTTGCAGCATCTATTAACCCCTTAACATGGTTTTAACAATTGCAAATAAATTGCTTGTAAATGCTGTACTGACAACAGAACCAGAACCATTAAAGCACTTGGCTCTGTTGAGCACCCCTGCAGCTGTGTGAGCCAGTAGGGAGCTCTATAGATCTCTCTGCCTAGCTCTGCGTTGCTCTCAATTCACATCCGGTTGGGCACAAATCTCTGCAGTGTTCCCTGTGAGTCAGATACCAGAAGGGAGCCCCTACAGCCATCTGTACCTAGCCTTAGACCTGCCTGACAGCCCATCGGACAACCCAGTTGCCTAAAAATGCAGTAACTCAGGCCGGCCGCGGGGTACTATTCCTCTGATTAACGCTCAGTCAAATCTTTTCTCGAATGGCGATTCTACTACAGACATAGGATCAGGGCGCTATTTTGATAGATAGTGTGCTTGGAGACAAGCTATCTGGGGATACCAAATGTGTTGGGGATTATTACTGTTTTCTTAATGTTTTGGGGATATTTGTACCTAGGTGCCTTGGTGTCTGGAGGTTAATTGGATCAGCGGTACTTGATCTGTTCATCTAACAGACACAGAGTCGCCTGTGTGGGTTCACTATTGTATGAGTTAACGACCCCCTGCTGGAGGTCTGTGTCTAAAAGTGTGTGTTTAACCCAATAAAGTGTTTGTGTTTTCGCCCTTCATCAAGTCTTGACTGATGTTTGGGTGGCTGCTAGAATATACAAGTTACTTTGCGGGAAAAGGAGAGAGGTTCTGGCTGAGATACTCTGGTTGAGTTTTGGAGCTTTGCCACAGCTCTGTTTTACATTTTGATGCAGAAAAAAGGGGAAATTGGGGGCACATTCCCTAATACTCTCCCCCCCCAAGATGGCCGCCGCAATTATACCATCCAAGATGACCACCATTCTTTATCTTTATTTTCACTAAATTTACAGCAATCAGTAGATCATTTCCCACTTGCTCTGGCTGTGTCTGTGTGTCCCACCTGCCCTCTGCCCCAGGACCTCCATGTTCACTCATCCAAGGCAGACGCCGGCCTAGCCGCCGTTTGTATAGATCGGAACTACATTTCCCTATAACCTTGCGGGCGATCACCGATGACACGGTTAGCTCGCACGTCACATGACTCACTCTTGTACACTAATTCTGACAGCTTAAACACTTGTTTTTAAGTATAGTTGTAACGGATCGCCTGGCACCCCAACTGGGTACCTCCGTTTGACGAATGCTCCTAGTGTTGCCCGAGGGCTCCAAGCACTCCACTAGACCCCAAAACCACCGCAGACCCCACGAACCGCCGCAGCTTGGTTGGGGTCTCGCCGTCTTCTTCCTACTCTGGGCCCAAGACCAGGGATCAGCTTCCAGTAGAGCAGGAACAGGAACAGGAACACACTCTTACAAAAGCTTACTCTGGGGAGTATAGTGATTATAGCAATCCCCAGAGTGTAGGTAATTCTCCAATTCCCCAAACATGAGCCGAAACTTCATGAAGGTACAAGATGATCTGTTTATTGCGCACAAAGGCATTTCTTTCAGACACATTTTCTCATGGAAGTCCCTTTTTAACATGCCTTTTTGCAGGGCCCATAGTCTTGGGGCAGAAATAGTGTATTAAAACCCCATAAGCCCAAATAGGGATTTTAAATGGCAATATCCCAAGGGGCCATAGTCACAGGTCAAGAGGCTGGCAAGCAGGCCGCTCCAAACCCCAGTGACGAAGGTGCTTTGTCACAATAGTTATATCTACTAAGGCTGCCAACATGCAGGCTTTCAGGCTATATTGTTTCTAAACTTTTATTAAAATTAATTTGAATTATGGATTTAATTGGATAATTGTTCATGATGTCATTATGACATCACTTTTAAATCAGTCTATGCTTATATAAACCTCAGTTAGCCAGGATGTATGTTATTCTCCATTTGAAAAAAGCTTCCACAGGTAAAACGCATTATGGACTTTTAATATATGTACTAATAAATGAATGTTGGTCACTATATTTGCTTATTGTGCCAATTATCTTCTATTTAATTCATTACCTCCTGGCTTTTTACTTTATTTCTACACTTTTATATTTATTATCTACAAAGAAATCATAGGTGGGGATTATTCCACCAACGCTTTATTCAAAAAGCAGTTGGGCTACTCTACTTTTTTGAGTATTATTAATTTATCTACTTTGAGACCTATTTTATCCTACAGAGAGCACTATCTGTTGCCTTTTATCCTTGTTTTTTGAGTTCCTGGAATTTCCCTAAAAGTTGAAAACAACTCTACTATATCCTGTAAATGGGGATTATATCACTGAACGGCCAATATGCTAGAACTGGCCATAGCTCTAGAAATTGGTTACATTAATTTATTGCACCATTGGAGTGTTTTCTGCTTTTTGTCATTCTATATTCTGGAATACACCAAGTGATTTTAAGAATTTACATATTTCCAAAGGACTCCTCTGCTTCATCTAGAATATTACCACCTGAACTTACCTGTTATCTAAAAGGGTACTATTCATCTAAGAACTATTGTTTTGGATTTAATTTTAGTATATAGCTACCTATATTTTTTATTACCTATTCTCTCTCATATTGTATGTATAAATCACTATTTGAAGTAGCACAAAATAATATTTTCGCACAGCCAAAGCTTCTGTAATTTTTGTTTTCTCACATTTACAAAGGGTTTGAGATGTATCCCTTTTCTTTTGGGTTGCTGCCTAGTCTATTCTTTTTGTTAACTCGAGTTGGTTATCCTGTTGTTTTTATCTACACCCGGAATATGCATTTCTCAACAGAATTTATACACAATACAGATTCAGGAACAGTGCATGCACAAACAGTTTCAAAATTAACAAGGCTACATAAAATCACCTATCTCAGCAAACAAATATGGGGATTCAGTTACGCAATATGGCCATATCGTGTTAAGCCCAGCACTACGTCACAGTACCCCAATATTTGTGGATTCTACACTCATTTTAACATGGTAAACAAACATCTACTTAAATGGTGCATGTGCTATATGAACTAAAGTGTATTTAATTAATCTATTGGAAGAGCATTGTAAATATATATAATGCAAAATTAATGTGATAAAAAACTATGAAAAAATACAGAGTTAAAACTAAATAATTAAAGTGATGCTTTTATGTATATACTCACAATGCATATCCTATATCTTCTCTATAGTGAATACAAATAATTATTATAGTGAAATTGCTATCCAAAACCATCTCAAATGTATACTTTCCTGTGGTCACCTCCAAAGATGCATTTGAAGCAGAGGGGTGGGAAAGGGTTTTCCGCCCAAAAGAAACCTGGAACTCTAAACATAGATAGAAAAAAGGGAATTGGGGGCACACCTAAAACATGCATTTTTCAGCAGTAGTGCAGCCATGAAATTAAATTAGAAGCTGCTATCAGGACTATTCGTTGTGTATATATACACGCAATCCATTGTATAACGTACATATATGGTGTTCAAAATGAGCTTAAATTTGAATGTTGACTACATATATATTATCACACACTAGCCATATGCAGTATATTAAGTTGATTATCTAATGTCTTAAATAAATCTATCTGGCTATTTATCTATGTTATGCAAACATTTGCCAGGACTTTGCTCTATTAACATTCCTAGTGGACAATTAACTAATTGCAAGCAAAATTGTGCACTTTAAAAGGGATTCCCAGCGCAGGCAGCATATTCTCCAAGCCCAAATTCAGGCAAACACATGTCGGACCAAGAGTATTTTTAGTTTGTTTTTATTGTTTCTATTTTTAACTTGTTTTAAGTATATTAATAAATTGACCATATAATTTTCCAGTGATATCCTTTCTGCTGCCTGGTCCATCCTTTATCAAAGGGGAGTACACCACCCCATAACTGCCTGGCACTTTGTGCTATAGCCTAGAGAGAGTCTTAGTGGCTCTGTATCAGGTGAGCTTTGCAAAGTGCCGTTTGTGTGTGAAAAATTCAAAAAATGTCCCTTTCACTGACGATATAATCGTTGTGATACGTTTTACTGTTTTTAAACACTAATATTTGTGTTCAGCAAAGTCTCTTGACAGTAAAACAGTACTCCCCATGTAGAGGACTTATAGTATCTTGGAAAGTTACAGGATTAAAAATAGGGCTTGCGAAACAAATTCTGTGGACTTTAAGCCTGGGTTGTCAGGCACGTCCCTCAAATCTTAATGAATAAAATTACTCAGGTAAAAATATTACATAAATATATACCTAGAATTTAAAAATATATATATATATAAAAATCCAAAATCTCTGGCACTCTTCCCCAAAAAAATTCAAATCAATTTGAAATCTGACCAGGGTGCTTCTCTGCTCAGTATCTTTTTGCCACAGCAGATGTCAAAAATCTCTATACCGTTCTACCACACAAGAAGGGTATAGAAGCAATGCGTAACCTACTGACACAGTCAGAAATTTATGAAGGACCTCCCATCGAATTTCTGCTTGAAGGTTTACAATTAACTCTATCAAACAATTATTTTCGTTTTGAAAACTTTTTTTATATTCAAGAGACCGGCACAGCGATGGGATCAGCAATAGCCCCAACATATGCCAACAGTTTTATGTTTGCATATGAAAACATGTATATACTATCCAAATACAATAAGTTGATTCAATATCACAGATTTGTGGACGATATTTTCATTTTGTGGAAAGGCACGGTAATAGAATTGGAGAATATGATAACTGAATTAAATAATTTGGATTCACCTATCAAATTAAGTCTTACATACAATACAGAGAAGATTCAGTTTTTGGATGTGGAAGTATACCGGAACAACCAGAATATAGGATATAGATTATATAGAAAACCATCGGACCGTAACACCCTGTTACACGCTAACAGCTTCCATTCCAATGCTCTAAAAAATCAATTTTTGAGGATGTTCAGAAACAATTCAGAAGATATCACTTGTACAGCTCAACTTCATGACATGACTATATCTTTTTTGGAACGGGGATATAAGTGTAATATTCTACAGAGTTGCCTTGAGAAGGCTGAAAAAATCTTTAAAGGAACAGAAACTAAACAAAGAACTGTTCCGACTATCACGATTCCTTTACAATTCCATTCAGAAAGCCAGAGGTTCCCACAAAGTATTAAAAAGAGATGGGACATCCTCTCTTCAGACAAGTCACTTAATACTATTTTTTCACAACACCCGCGCATTGCATTTCAACGCAACAGAAATTTAAAAGACATTTTGGTGAAAACAGATAATAGCCCTCAGACAGAGAATGTAAGGAAAGGTTGCTGTAAGAGTACAGGCTGTGTCACTTGTGGACACATGCTGACAGGATCTTCATTTGCGCATCCACATACAGGTAAAAGGATTCAGATCAAACACCGGTTAACCTGTCTGAGTGACCATGTGATTTATCTCATTTCATGCCCTTGTGGCAAGTATTATGTAGGCAAAACAGACATGACAGTACGTGACCGTATCCGAGGACACAGGTCAGGGATCATGACGGCTTTTCAAGATGGAAAGACTGAGAAGCCTGTGGCGAAACATTTCCTCGAATTCCAACATCGTTTGCCAACCCTAAAATTTATTGTGATTGACCATATTCCACCATTGGTCAGGTGTGGTGACAGATCAAAGATTTTATTACAGAGAGGGACTTTCTGGATTAAACATCTGGACACAGTCCAACCGAAATGACTTAATGAATACAATTCATTTAGTTGCTTTTTGAATATTCATTAAAGTATTTAACATAAGTACAGATTGTGGTATAAGTAGTAATTGTGTTTCTTTGAGTTTCTTCATAATAGTTACTGCATTCGATTAGTTGTGGTGATTTTATTTGTTTAGGCAGATCACGATTATATGTACACATTGCAGATTTATAATAGTAGGTCTTGGTTTCTGTTAGAGGTTCCAGTATCAGACTCATTAGGTGGTCGGTTTTTCACTTTCACTTCACACATATTTTCAACACTTAGACACATTTGTTGCATTAGGTTTTTCACGGTGTGTTGTTTTAGGCTGTTCTCTGCCACTTCACACTCCTCTCACTTTTTTTCATTACATTTACATTTAACACTTTCATTTCACATCATATCTACATACATATCACTATATTGACATTTCATTACATTGACATTCACATAAATATATTAGATTACAGTACACAGAGTTTGCACTTTATACCGAGCGCCTTATAGTTGTTTTACATCAGAGTTTTAAGGTACACTGATTACATATGTCATTCTGCATTCATACAATAGCTTTAATATTTCAGACTTATTATGAGATTGTTTCCTCCATGCATGCTTTTAATTCTCACGATTCACATTCACAATGGCTTTGACGTTACTAGGCAACATATTAGGTTGGAAATCACATGACATTATGTCATCACGCACGTATGGGAGGACGCACTCAACGGCGTCTGACACAGGGAATGTCGGATCAATGGGGTTCACTTGGTGATTGGGTAAGTTTAACTTATTGTATGTTATATATATATATATATTTCACTTCTGCATTGTTTTGGCATCTTGATAAAGACCGCTTGACGGTGGAAACGTTGATTTGTTTGCTGACAATTTAATATAAGCTTTATTTAAATCCAGTGAGTGCTCTCATTTTTTTGGATTGTATATATATATATATATATATATATATATATATATATATATATATATGGATTTTTATTTTAAATTATTTTCATTTATGTATAGATATATAGAGAGAGATATATACATATATATTTATGTATTTAGTTATATATATAATTTTGTTCTCCTAATCAATTTAATACAATTTATCTGATTTCAGCCATCACTTCAGCATGTGCCAGGAGAGATCCACAGCCCTGCTGCTCTACAGCTCCACTCAGCTCCAGCCAGATATGATGCTACAGTTGGACTTCCTCCTCTGCCACCACCAATCCCACGCACTGTGTTCTGTCATGGAGAGAATGCTCCATAAATCTGTGCTGAAGAAGAAGTAGAAAAAGTATTGATTGTGCAGAATCAGATACAGCATGAGTGGACCTACTGTCTGCCCTAGTATTTTGTCTTTCTGCTTTTTCCCTTAGTAATACAGGTTCGTGGTATATCTGCAGATTTCTTGGTTCACCCTCGTAACATCCACCCTTTCTCAATTTCTTCTTAGAATTAGGATGCAAGATCGATGACGGTGGGTGTGTTTTTCTTATTATAATACATTTGGGTTATGGATGATTGTGTAAACTAATAATTTTATTGAACAAAAAAAGATGTTTGTGTTGCAAAATAGGTTAGCGCGGGTGGATTTCCTACTATAATGTTAGTGTTTAATTAACTTTAAGAAACACTAGACTGCCCAGTTTTCGCACACCTGTACATCATACACTGGACTGAATACATCTTAAAACAAGATTTTTTTTCTACAAACACTTAAGAAGAAAATAATTGCGAACTGTAAATCTACTTTCACGTAAGGCTGAATGACAATCTCCTATCTCCCACTCAAGGTTGCTTTACGTGTCACTGGCAGTAGCCAGTTAGATAGATACAGCTGTAAGCTAAACCTACTCTCCTGGAATCAATACTATCTCCCACTCACGAACAGCAAGGGTAAAACACACAGTATCACAGCATGCATGATTGGTGAAGACCTCCTGTCCATCATCGCAGGCTAAGTTGCCGATTTATTCAACCAAAAAAAAAAAAGCCTCTTCTACATTTCAAAACTAGCAAGTGCAAATAATTTGTTCCAAGGTTCTTCCACATGGTGGTTCAGAAATCAGAAGTTTGTCTGGTCACCCGATCAGCACAATTCCGGATGAATTGTAGTTAGAAACAAAATAAATCCCCAGGGTTAATTCCCATTCGTAAGATTGGAGCTTCGTGGCTGGTTTTGAATGAACATTAATAATGGTTGTGTTAAATGTCCACAGAACTTAGCATATGTCCCCTATAGTAAAACAAAACAATGCCAGGTTATGACCTTAAATTCTGACTATTTTACAAGCTTGGTAAGGTAGATTTTTTAATTCCCTCTAAATCTGTAACAAGTAAGGCCTTGGGGTCAAATTCAATATCTTCATGTTAATCCTCAAATAATGAATTGGTGACAGAGAACAAAATGGGTGAGGTGGTATAATGCTTTATGAATCAAATCCTCCACCTCAAACAACCTTCAATATGTGCATGCTTTCTCTCCTTAATCCACATATCCAAAGGGAGTTTGTGGATTTAGACAAGCGTGACTAGTTTGTTTTCAAGTATGATTTGTCGCTAAAACAGGCAACTAGACTATTGGTTGAAGGGATTCTCCAGTGCCAGGAAAACAAAGACATTTTCCTGGCACTAGCGAATACTGAGGTCTCCCACCCGCCTCCCATCCCACGTCGCTGAAGGGGTTAAAACTCTTTCAGACACTTATCTGAATTCAGCGCCGATGTCCTTCAGCGCTGAGTCAGGCTCCTCCCCCGTGAGGAAGTCCAGCGTTGTTTAGACGACCAAAAGTCGTCTAAGAAGCCGGAAGTCCCTCTAGTGGCTGTTTGATAGAGTGATGGGAGTTGGCACCCAAACCACTCCAAGGAGCTGAAGTGGTCTGGGTGCCTGCAGTGTCACTTTAATAAAGCTACAACCAGTTTAATTTAACCTGTATATGCAAAACCGAACAAAAAAATTGCAATTTGTAGACAGAAATAGATGGAAAGAAGAATCTCAGGGTTATTTACTAAAGTTAGAATACACATCTATGGAGAAACAGTACTTCACCTGCTGTGCTATATAAGTATAGTTATTGTATATACACAGAATGCAAATATCCCTTCTCTTCCCCACAACACAGTGCCATAATTACTGAATGTTGTAACTGAAGTATTATTGATTGATATTTTTAATTAAATCACTTACATTTGGGAAGAGGATCACAAGGATTATTGTGAAAAGGCATTCACTACAGTTTCCCTTCACAACTGGCACCTTGGAAATTCAGAGGGACAAGCGGTGATTATTTTTTTTTTTTTTATCTGGGTCAACTTGGTCCAGCGAGTAAAGGGACTTTTTTTCACTGCAAGTGAAGTTGCGTAGGTTTGTGACAACTTAGCCAAGCAGTAATTGATTTTACACAATTTTTGGTCAATTCGCAAACCAGAAAAATTTGGCCAGGGAAAGGGAATTTGTGAAAATTTTCACGCAGGTCCAAGTTGTACTAACATAAAGGTGACTCTCAAGTACCCTGCATTCTGCATAATTTGATGTAAGGAAAGTGGGGGCTTTAGGCTTTATCATGCCTTCTAACTACATAAATGACAGGACCGAACCTCGCATGGAGGACATGAGGAAAGAGTTAAAGAAAAACACGTAAGATAGCTTTGCTGTGTATTATTTTGTAATGCATACATATCAATAATAACTTTTTAATACATCTCCTGGCTTACCCTTCCTGTGTGGAAGTCCTCTTTGGTCAGAACTTGAGGCACAAATTATCTGTTAAAACTATGTACAACTTGAACATTGTCCATGAGAGCATTTCTGAGATGCACAGCTTATGTCAGGATTTGTGGACACTCATTTGCTCTTGATTAACTGCATCATTTTAGATAGGATGAACTGTGCTTCTGACCAATGAAAAATTAAGATGGAGAAAACTGATAAATTTCATAGACCTTTGTATTGTGGCTGTCTAACTGCCAAGTGAGAGCAAATCAAAAATTCAGCTTATTGAATTTGTTCTGGTGAGTAGAATCATTACCTTCAGGCTTTTTGCTGTAAACACTGTCTTTTCAGAGAAAATGCAGTGTTTTACATTACAGCCTAGTGATAACTTCACTGGCCACTCCTCAGATGGCTGTTAGAGATCCTCCCTGGGTCATGGCTGCCTAAAATGCATCCAAACATTCAGTATCTCCTCCCTCTGCATGCAGACACTGAACTTTCCTCATAGAGATTCATTGATTCATCTCTATGAGGAGATTCTGATTGGCCAGGGCTGTGTTTGAATTTTGCTGGTTCTGCCCCTGATCTGCCTCTTTGTCAGCCAATACTATGGGGAAGCATTGTGATTGGATCAGGCTACCACTTCTGCTGATGTCAGCAGGCAGGTCAAAAGGAAACAGTGACAAAGCAAGCAGCTGCAGACTTGAATACTAGTACAATTTTACTATATTAAAAGGAGGCATGAAAGGACCAGGGTGGCTAGAAGGAGGTTTTAACCCCTATAGGGTCAGGAATACATGTTTGTATTCCTGACCCTATTGTGCTCCTTTAACCATCAGCAGAAATGGATGCAAAGATCTACTATATTCTGGTTCCAGTATAGCAGCTTCTAACTTACCTTTACAATTTTGTGGCTTGTTATATACTGTGTATAGACTGTGCCACAGGGCTTACCTCTATTGGTAATCTCTGTGAGTTTAATGAACAAAGCGTCTAAAAAAAAAAATATCATTTATTGGTGCCAGATAATAGATGAATGGTTGCTCATCAAATAGCGTATAATGGAAGTGGAGTAAGACAACATCAGAAGCAGAAGATATAAAATAAAATTAAAATAATAAATCACATTAACACATTAGTATTATAAGTCTTTATTGGTCAACATGTTATTTGAAAAAGTCCTTGTATCAAAGGGAAAAACCAACTATCGTCAGTGATTGTTTGGCAAGATAAACTGTATTAAAATGATCAAAATTGTCTCTCTAAGCAAGCAGTTAACATCTCAGAGCCTTTTGGATGTTTTACAAGACCATGTTTGCCAGCATCATGAGTTTAAAGTTCAAATTATCTATTGTCTTTAACAGTTATTTAAGGACATGTTTGCAATAAACTATGAAATCTGTGTTCATTATAGATCAATTTTCTCTGCACAGTTCTGTTATAACAAAACATAAATTCCAAGTTAAAATTGCGATTTTTAGTTCCAGACTTTGACTGCTGAGATTGAGAAACAATCTTGTCAAATAAATTCACTGGACAGTGGACACGATAATAATTACAAACAGAGCGGAATGTTCTGAAGATTTTTTTTGCATTAAACAACAAAACTCTGCACTTACATAAATATCATGCACCCTAGCAAAATGAAATTTGACTTTCAGGTACAAAATTAAGTATAATTTACTCTGTATTCTCAAAGAATTAAATACATTTTACAGACAAGAATATCCCACACAAAAATATCTAACCACATGAACCAAAAGGAGAGGATGCCAAATTAATATAGATGTGTGGGTGAGTATAATATTATGTATTATAGTTAATATTTTTAAAGTAACAGATCAAGCACCATAACCACTACAGCCCACTGCAGTGGTTATGGTACCAGGAGTGTCATGGCACTCTGCCACATTAAGTAGTCAAACTATTTAAGAATGGCTTGACAACTTACCTCACCACCACCTCATCTGTAGCCGATAGTTTAGCCTAATGGTACAGGGACAAGCTTACTTAGCTGTCAGCACTCAGCCAATGTCCTCAGTCAACAAACCAGCCCTGCTAACAGAAGCTTATTGCAGGAGCTATGAGCTCCAAGGAAGGTGATGACAGGCAACTGGTGCTCCCCAAGTAAGTTATCAAACTGTTTGACAAAATACTGTGGAAAAATAGCCACTCCTTGTACCAAAATCACTTCCTTTAACCCTTTAAGAACCAAACTTCTGGAATAAAAGGGAATTGTGACATGTCACACATGTCATGTGTCCTTAAGGGGTTAAAATAAAGCATCCAAAATAAATGTTACAGGTATACAATAGTTTCTTTATAACAATATATATTGCCAATTTGCATATGCAAAATAGATGCAATAGAAGAGGAAATTATACCTGGGAAACAGATTACCAAGAATAACTTTTATAAAATGCATAGTATCTCTTCTTACAAATGTATTGTATTTATTTCTCCCTACAAAATTTACTGTATGCAAACATATTTCATTTCCAGCAATATTTACGTTATCTATATTTAAAAAAAAAAAGTTTTCAATAAAAACCATGGTGCTTGCTCACTTGAATCTTTGTATGTTAAATTTGCTGCTGCAGAGCAAAACACTGCTACCACATACATGGGCTTAACATCTGCAAGTTTGGAAGACATAAAGACAATCCCAACCAAAAAAAATAAACGAATAAATAAATTTTCTTGTCAACCAATACCTGAAAATTTCATCAGTGATGTTATTATAGAAGAATATGCTCTCATAAATTTGGTTCAATTTTAAAATAAAATCTTTTATGATTTACAGACTCATAGATGTGTACAAAAATGGAGAATACATGGAAGACAGTAGTATCCTCTATGGATTTATTAAGCATACATAATGAGATACACATTGCACAGGCAGGGCAGAGCTTAAAACAGCTACAACCGGCCACATCTTGCCATTTCCCATGAGTCATCACTTGCAAAGAATGATTAAAAGTGGCAAGGTGGGAAAGCTGAAGAATATTCAGCTTTTGCCAAATTTATTTTAAAAGAAAACAGCAAAGCGATAATCCATAATCCCTTCCCCTGTCTTATGATATTATTAGATGACGTGTAATTTTTGTTTATATCTTTATGAATTAGCATTTTTTAATAACTCAAAAACATCCATGTCGCTTTGATAAGGGAAGAGCTAGCTGATCAACAGAATTTTTACCCCAACAACAACAGAAGGTCCACTGCTTCAAAATACACACCTTTGGATTAAATGCTTTTTTACTGCTTAATTAAACCATAAATTAGATTTTTAAGTATGCAAGTAAATAGTTAAAAGAGTAGAAATTAATGGGGCTCAAATAAAACAGTGGCAAGATTCTAAAATGAAAATACAAGGTAAAAAAAAAAAAAAACTCTTTCCTAAATAAAATTAAAAAAAAAGTCAGCTGGTTAAACTGCCACTAAAAGAACAAATTTATATATTGGACCAAAAAAAAAAAAAAGTTATATTAGACAACACATAATATGATTTGCATTTCTGTGGGTTATCAAGATACTCGTTCCTCAAACATGCCTCACACATTCTACAAACACCACATATGCAAGTTCCTCTTCAATTCCAGACATCCAATCTTATGTTCCATCTTTATCGTTGGCTGAGGTGCGAGACAATGTATATCAAGCCTATAAGAAGCAGACCACGGACTCCCAACATCAGAATGAGAAAGAGAAGGAGGATAGACATGACCGGCTCCACCACCTGATTTCCAAGATTCCACCGCGGGAAGCCCATGTTGACCAGCTGTTGATTAATCTCAGTGAAAGGTGATCGACCCTGCTGCCTGGCTCCATCTCCTGGTACCTGCTGAGGTCCTGCTCCAGCTGTGGTCCTGTTTGCAGTATTAAAAAATCCCTGTGTAGATGAGAGGAAAAAGAAGCAAATACAGACTGGTATGTTTTTACAGTAGTACAAACTTATACAATATGACCAATATACAAAAAGTCAATTAAGCTATTGTTACAGTTTGGTTGTAACAGCTCAAATTTAGCAATTTGTTGTCAATACATTTTGAGACACTGTTTAAGGATCAAACTCTAAAGAAGGCAAAGCAAATTAGGAATTCATTTAGGGCCTGTGGCAGACCACCAGGCACCCGACTGGGTACCTCTGCCGAGTACTATAAGCACCGCACCAGACACCATACCCAGACACCACAACCACTGTAGCCCCCTTAGCTGCCGCAGCTTGGCTGGGGTCTCCCATCCCTTCTCACCCTGGACCCACACCTAGATCCAGCTCCCAGTGGGAAGACCTCTCCTCCAAGAGAGTATAGCAGGTATAGTAATCCAAAGAGCAGTATGGCAATCCCCCCCCCTTTCCCCCCCCCCCAAGGCTTAATGCTGGGAAGTAGTCTGTTTAATGTCAGCACAGTTACAGAATTTACACAAGTCACAAACACCTCCCCTGTGCCTGAGATATAATTGAGTCAGGAACTGTACAAACTCAATTATATCCAGGTACAGAAAAATTTACAGACACCCCAAAAGTACCTCTAAAACCCCACAAAAGTCACACCCCCTGATAGCCCCGATCTCTGTGACCAACATATCCAAAATCCCCCAGATCGGTTCAGGGATTCGGGTTTTTCATGGAAGTCATAACAGTTTCTCTGAAACTGCTATGTTTATAAAAAAATGGGTTAACCCTAGAAGGACCTGGCACCCAGACCACTTCATTAAGCTGAAGTGGTCTGGGTGCCTAGAGTGGTCCTTTAAGAGTAAATTAACAGAGTACTCTCGAAAAAAATGGGAGAAACAGTGATGACTTTTGCTGCTTAGACACAAATAAGTATATACATAGAGCAGTGTATAAAATGTGTAAAATGCTAAGGCATGGCTAAGTTTTCATTCCATCTGGGATCCTTTTTAGGCAACAATACTATGCCCAGCGTCTAACCAATTATGTGTCCTGATGCTTTTAGTTCAGCACGCTGCACAAACTTTCAAATGGCAATAATAAAGGTAAACTGCCAACTATATAACACAATAGCCAACTAAAAGATACCTAAGGGTTGCCCATCACCACTGGCGATGTTGCCATGTAGATATTATTTTTACTCACCTATGCTGTACTACTCGACTGTTTAATTTGGTTTACTAAACACCACTAGCAGAAAGTACACACGTTAAGCATGGAGGTTGGTGAGAATTGCAGCACAATGTTGGTTCATTGCCAGCTACTGATAATAAAATGGCTGCGGAGGTCATGTGAGGAGAGCAGATTAGTTGCAAGATAGCATTCAAGTAACTAAAAAGCGAAGCCCATGATATCACTAGCCCATGTAAATACCAGACATATTAGATTTAAAAAAAACAAAAAAAAAACTATAAAACTTCCCTTTCTAAATGTAAACTCACTTGACGAGAGGTTTCTCTTGATCTCACACGTGGGTCATCATCTTGGACAATTTCACCATTCGCCAAAATCCTGACCATTTTTATATACCTATTGATTGTGAACATGAAATTTGTTATTAATGAACTTTAACTGCGAAAAGCAGTATTCTCTAATATGCTTCTCAAAAAGTTTAATTTACAATAAAATGGAAAAAGAGCTACAAATTCTATGGGCTAAGCATACAGGTTTAATATGAAGCAAACTTAGCACTATAAGCACTACATGCCATTGTAGTTGTTATCGCACTTTTAAGATGTGGGCACCATTCCCCAAAAGGTTTTTGAGCGGTTTAATAGAATGGGGGTTCCCAGGGGCACCTGCAGCCTGGCCCCCTGTTTGCCAATTGTTAATGCAGAATTTCATATCTGTATTCACGTGTTTAAAAGGAACATTTCAAACACCATAACCACTATAGCACACTGTACATGCTATAGTGTACACAGAATGCTCTTGGGCATCAACACAGCAATGCCATTCAACCAAATGTTCCCTCCATTACTTACTATTGTACAAGCAACACTTAAGGTGTGAGTATTAATTGCATGCTGTACCCGGAGTGCATGGCATATAAAGTGTTAACATGGAAATATGAGATTTTACATATGGTTGGGTAAAAATCTAACATGTAACTGCTTTAACCCTTTAAGGACACCTGACATGTCATGATTCCATTTTATTCTAGAAGCTTGGTCCTTAAGGGGTTAAGCAAAAAGAGGGTAGGAACTGTCCAACCACATATCAACGTGTTAGGGTTTTTACAAATTAAAAAAAATATAAATTAAAATTTTAGTTTATAAAAAGGGATGGGCATATAAAATGCAGATAGAAAAAACAAAACAAAAAAACCCGCTGCCCTGCAGTATGAAGTAAAATGCTGCCAGAGGGCAAACAAGAATTCACTGAAATTCTTGACTTCTGTATACTGCAGGGCAGCACTTTTCGTGTGCTAACCATCAACATGATGAAGTGATACGTGTCCTTAAAAACATGGCGACTCTAACAACCTTTGACACAGGGCATTCAATGTTCACTAGAAAAGCATTAGGCTCACATTTTTATTATATAATTTGGAGAATAAAAACATGCTATTTTCTTGTCACTCTGTATCTATCACTGGAATTTCCGATCTGTTCTGAGTGTTCTATTCTACGTGTGTGTGCGTATACAGCATGAATTAGACCAGAGTTGTACCCATGGACAGAAGAAATACATACACTGCAAAATAAAATCCTAATATAACTCAATTACAGCCCACCCTGCAGCATGTGGACAGACAGGAACAAAACAGGTTTACAATGCACAACAAACCCTGCTTGAATACCTGCTTCCTGGATCTCTCTTGTTGCAGGAAGTGGGGAAGGAATTATTCGAGACACAGCTTCCCCTCCTGTTCTCCTTTGTTTGGTTTAGTATCCCCTTCAGGCGACTCCAGGTAATGCAGCTATGAAAAAAAAATTATAATTTTTATAGATTTATTTTAAAATTAAAAAATAATTATAATACAGTGGTCACATTATGCACATTTCATAATAATAATAATAATAGTAATATATATATATATATATATATATATATATATATATGATTTTATATATATATATATATTTATATACCGGTATATATATATCAAAAAGATATTTGGTCCTTGAAGAACAGGGTCAAACACAAACATAGCAGGTATTAGTACACATTTAGCCTACATGAAATTGCAATGTTTGCATATTACATTTTATTATTTATGACAAATTTAGCTTTGAGATTTTTAACTAAAAGTATTAGTCAATGCACAAATTATCAGACAGGAGAAAACTGCCAATGATAAAGAGAGACACACACATATACACACACACACATTTCCATCCGACAGGGTTAATTACTAAAATTAGAATTAAAAGTTAATTCAAAGGGGATAGTAAACTTAACCCCATAAGGACTGAGCCAAATGTACACGTTTTGATCAAAATAAAACTTAAACAAAACTTGGAAATTGACTATATGTCTGTTCAACCATAATTCATCTACTTCATATTAAGTGCACCCACACTTATTATATATCATTTTTTTTCAGGTGAAATAGGGCTTTCCTTTAACATCAAATATTTAGCTATGAAACATAATGAATAAAATGTAAAAAAAAAAAGTGAGAAATTAAGAATTTTTTTAATTTTCTTAGTTCTGCATGACATTTTAACTGTGAATGTCATAAGACTATTTGGTTTTACAGCAATAAAATACACATATTTGTATTCAGCGATGTCTCACGTGTAAAACAGTACCCCCTATGTACAGGTTTTATGGTGTTTTGGGAAGTTACAGGGTCATGGATCAGTTTCGCACTGGGGCCCCATGGAATGTGTGTATGCCACTGACTAAGTGGCTACTAAAAAGATTGGATATACTCCATTTGCAATACCTTGGGTTTTCTACTTTTGCTAATGGTATGCCATTATGGGGGTAATTCTCATTCCTGGGCTACCATACGGTCTCAAAGGCAACGTAACCAATCTGGCGAATTTCAATGTGAAAAAACTGAAACACAAGTCGAATATTTGACTCTGTTACTTTTGAAAACACCTTAAAACATGTACATGAGGGGTACTGTTATACTCAGGAGACTTCGCTGAACACAAGTATTAGTGTTTCAAAACCGTAAAACGTCTCACAACAATTATATTGTCAGTGTAAGTGCTGTTTGTGCGTGAAAAATGCAATAAAGTAACTTTCACTGATGATATCGTTGTATTACATTTTACTGTTTTGAAAACACTAATATTTGTGTTCAGCGAAGTCTCCTGAGTAAAACAGTACCCCCCATGTACAGGTTTTATGGTGTCTTGAAAAGTTACAGGGTTAAATATAGTGCTAGCAAATTAAATTCTCTGGACTTTCTGCCTGGGTTATCAGGCAGGTTCCGCAAATTGTAATTAATAAAATTACTTCATTATGTAAAAATATTACATAAATATATATGTAGAATAAAAAATAAATATATATATATATATATATATATAAAGTAAGTAGCTTGGCACTCACCCTTTCTCCTCCTATATGTGTAGTTTAGGAGGGCCGGATCAGACGGAGGAGGACTGCCTGGGATGCCAGCGAGCAGGTAAATGGCCAGGAAGGTGGGGACGTACTATGCCACCTGTCGGCGTTTAGAGCCAGGTTCCAAAGGATGGCATAGTACGCCCGCCGTCCTTAAGGGATTAAAGTCAAAGTAGCTTTCAGTTTAAAAGGAACTGTGTCCCTAAATTTAAAATTCACTCTGAATACTTGAGTGAGAAATTGAGACAGTCAGACAGAAAGACTGACAGATTATAGACACACACGCATATAGATTATAGATAGATTGATTGATAGATTGATAGATGTCAGGAACGTTCGGGGATCCTACATGCAGAATGCAAATACTAGTAATGTATACTGGACCTTAGGATGGCCGAACTAACACTACACACACAAAGAGTAGTCAAATAGTGAGCCAAGGTCAGCGGTACCAGAAATAAGGATCAGCGATAATGCAACAGCCAAGGTCAAAGGAACACAGAAGAAGGAATAGTCAAACGAAGCCAAAGTCAGAATACAAGAATATCAATACGGAATATGCGCTCTTGGGTCAATCAAGAACCACAACAGGGCAATGAGTCTCTCAATGGTTTCTTTTTAATACCGTGTTCAATTAGGTAAGGAACCACTCCCCCAAAATGTTCTTGTTCGAACACCTTAGCGGGCCGTGGGGTTCTTAGCGTCATGACGCCCACGCTCATTAGTCGTGTCATAAGGAGGCAGGGTTATCACGGCTGGCATGAGAATCACTGTAGACAAGCTGAGAGTTGTTAGAAGTGTGCCCAATACCCTGCAATGTGATGCAAGCCTGTGACATGCCCCTGACTGATACACAAGGTAACCTGATAATAGATTGATTATAGGCAGATAGTTAGATATATAGATTGATAGATAGATTATAGACAGATAGATAGCAAATGTCAGTCTTTGATTTAAGAACCTGACCGTTACACTTGCTATACTTTCAGATTTTTTATTTACTGACCCTTAAAGGCATGTCATGCTAATACCAGTCATCTCTAGGGAGCATGGAAATTTTGTGTACAACAAATATATATGAAAATGATTTATTTTAATTTTTTTAAATGAATGCTGAATCTTTTGTAGATATCCCGATTTTGACTAGATATACATGATGTTACAATAACTTTTATGTTGTCACTTGTGTCCTTGCATAGGCTGGTCAGTTATTTTGATATGTGTGATATAGTAATTGGACACTATAGGCACTATTATAATTTCATCTCATTGAATTGAAGATAGTGCTCGGAGTCTCCTGGTGCTGTCAGTCTATTCAATACTAAGCCATTTTGAGTAAGGGTCCCTGGCCACCCACAGCCCAGCCTCCACTGGCGATACGACTAAGGCAGAGATTACTGAAATTAGTCAGCTGACACTTTGGTGACATCACAATCACAATCACATTGCTACTCTTGCGATTGCTTCTCCATTAGCCTCAGCATCACAGAGGAAACAGGCTGATATGGACTCTCATTCAGCATTAAGCCATGCAAAAAAAAATGAACACAGAACGGGAGGAGGGTACCAGGGGACTCCAGATAATATATGCACGTTAATGAGATGAAGCAGTTACCGTGCTTATGGTCTCTATTTAATACCATTATTTTCCTACCTTGACTGTGATAATAAGTTTTTTACATAATTCTTTGATTCTGCCACCATAGGGAGGTATGGGTTTGGGATGGGATCGATGCGTCTTCAGGGGGTGTCACCTTTGATGTGTTCTGCACACATTTGACTATTTTTAAATTGAATTTACAGCTAAAAAGATCATCAAAATACCTTACAGGTTTCAGGAAGAACCATCATTTGCTTTGCTAGGGGCAATAATTTCCATGTCCCATATACCATTACTCACGGGGAAAGTATAGTCGTAATGATGACATTATTGAATAGACCATGCAGGTGTTTGGCTTTAGATCAGCTGAACAATGTTTGTCACATATGATCTGTCTTTAGTCAGCTGTGACATTTATCTATTTTCAAAACCTTGGCCACTACACACAGTATTATTCAGATTTAATTGCAATTTCAATGTAACAACATAGAATTTATTTATTTCAATTTTTTTAAGTTCTGTATTAACTGTTCAAGCGCTGTGGTTCTCAGCACAAAACCAACTATGATGTTTTCTTTAGATACATAGGAATTCTTTATATCATCTGCCAGTAATGTAAATCACATCACCATGACAAGTTAACATTGCAAGATGGGAACTATCTTTGGTGTAAAGATTCCACCACCACCCCCCATTTACAGCTGTGTTAGTGTGAATAGTATTACATCCCACAAAAGGAGCTACAGACCTTAATTTAAGATGAATAGGACCATACCTATATAGATGACACTTTCATTGCAGCTAACAAGGGAGGAAATCCAATTACACCACAAAGAGGTTACCTAATAGGCTATTCAGTATGAGAGGCCATGAATGGGTGGGGAGGTCTATAGTGGACGGAGCATTCTTGCCTGCCTGCGTGTGTGTGGGCAAGTCTAGGAAGAAATAACGCACAGCTCAGATCTTTATTACTCATTTGCCTTTCAAAAGGGGCAAAACATTGGAAACAATTACTAACACTGGTTCAATATAGAAAAAAAGCAGATCATTAAGTCATGTATTAAGTTAAGCATCTCCACTACACCAGATATGGGTTTGGTCAACCCACTTGTATTATATGCTATTATCCAACTCCCACAGAGAGTGCAAATCAGAAAAGAATCAGCAATCAGAAAAAACAAGGCACCAAAAAATGTTCTTCAACTACTAAATGTTTGTGGAATTATTTGTTTCTAATATTGAAGGAGACATTATGGCGCAATGTTGTTAGAACACAAAACTGACTCCAGTTTGGGAAATGCTCACAAAATTGGTTTAATCAAACTGTGGACCGCTTTTCTTGTTGTTGTTAAGAGGCATTCTTTAAAGGGACACTTCATTGCATTGAAGTGGTCTGGGTGCGCTATCCCTGTCCCCTTAGCCCTGCAAACTGAGAGAGAGGGAAACGGCAATGTTCATATTGCCGGGTTACAACTACCGCTAATGACTGTCTCTCAGACAGCCACTAGATGTGCTTCCTGCATAACTAAGACCAGGGGTTCCCAACCCAGTCCTTTAAGTAGCCAATACCAGTCCAGGATTTAGGTATTACCCTGTTGTATCTAAAGTGTTTTTATTTTTCTCTAAAAACACCTTAGACACAACAGGGTAATACCTAAAACCTGGACTGTAAGGGTATACTTGAGGACTGGGTTGGGAACCACCGTCTAAGACTGTCAGGGTCATTACCTAAACCCCAAATTGTA